GGTGAGAGATGAGGCTGGAGATGTCAGCTGGGGTCAGAGCAGGGGTGGGCCTTGAGGTCATGTCAGGATATGGGACATTATCCAGAGGTTTAAGAAGGGGCTCAGATATGCAGATTAGAAAGCTCAGCTAACTGCTATGCAGATGAATTGGAAGAGGCAGAATGGATGTGGGGGATCAGCACAAAGTCAGGAGTAGTGTCAGTGGAGAGGGGACACGGATCTGAGGGAGATTTGAAAGCAGCACCCTGAGCGGGGGCCCTGACTGCTGCTTTCTCCCTATCCTCTCCTGTACCCTCCCAGAGTTTGTCCGGATGATGTCCCGCTGAGGCCGTGAGGGCCCCTCCAGGACTGCCAAGCTCCCACAGGCGGGGAGAAGAGAAGCCAGAGCTGGCCTCACCCCGCCGTAGCCGCCGAGAGCCCAGGATGTACTGGTGGAAGGGGCCTGCCTGCACCCGGGGAGGTGCCCACCCCGGACCCCCACCCCTGCACTGTGAAAGACTCACAACTCCTGCAACTGGAAAAGGGGGTGCCCGCCGACAAGGAGGCCACAGTGCCAAGCCCACAGAGGTCATGCAAGGCGCCAAGTGCCATGTGCCCAGCCACTGCTGGCTGGGCGGGCCAGGGAGCCGGCCAGCAGATCCCACACAGCATGTCTGCCCTGGGGCAAAGCCTCTTGCTGCCCTCCTTAGCTCTGTGCCCGTCCCAGCTCGCCTCAGCCCTGTTATCTCAGAACCAATAAAAATATTTCCAAGAGAGAGGCAGTCGTGGGGGCCTTTCCTTCTTGCGCTGGTTAGATGACACGTTTCCTGAGTACCAACTGCACGCCCAGAACTGTCTGGACATTCCGGCATTGAACATTCATTTATTGAGAATCTTTTAGATATCCAGCTATTTCCTCACTCATCTCAGAAGCCAGAACCCGGTGCCTCTAACTGAAAGGGAGACTGGGGAATACAGTGTTTTAGCTGGGTACGCGGCTGCCACAAAGTCAAGTTCTCCAGTAAGCTCCTCACTTAATATCGTTGATAGGTCTGAAACTTTAAGCAAAACGACGTGTAACGAAATCAATTTTACCATAGGGTAATTGACATAAACGGGAGTTAGATTCCTACAGCATCTTGTGGAACAAAACGACGTTATTCCAGGATCTGCTGTAGAAGAAAAGGAGAATGGATATTGGGTAAGCATCCAGCAGGGTCTGCCCCACTTCCTGTCTTCTGGAGCTCTCATAGTGGTCAGGGAAACAGACATGAAATAATCACATCATTATATGGTTACAATTGTGATAACTGCTATTAGGGGAAAATGCAGGGACTTTCAGGTAGGGTATGATAAGGAGGCCTGCCCTCCTCTGAGGAGATCAGGGAGGCTTTCCCGAGGAAGTGATGACAAGGTTTTTGCCCTGGAGGAAATCCCAGTCTGTATGAAGAGACAGATGTAGAAACAGCTGCCATCGTCCCCAGCAAGCGGAAAGCAGGGAAGCAGGATAGCTGAGTAGTTAGACCTGGGTCTATCTGGTGTGTGACTTTGGGTGAACATCAGTTTCCTCAGTGTAATATAGGGACAATAAAGGATGATAAAGTCCACAGTAAGTGTTCCGAGGGCATTGCATTGCACACCTTCAGGATCTACTATTCACATAACTGCAGTGGAATTGTGCCATGTGCCAATATTAAATAATCCATCATAATCATTATAATTGATTTTGATAAGTGAAGAGTTAAAGGAATCTAAAGGAGAAGTCTGCGGGTGAACGTTGTCAAGAATCTTTGACAGGCATGGGACATAATCGTACAGGTGAGTGGGGTGGACCCAGGTACTCCAAGGCAGCGGTTCTCAAACTTTAGTGTGTGAAAGAATCACCTGGAGGATTTGTTAAGCCACAGATCTGGGCCCCACTCTGGTGATTCTGATTCAGTGTTTGAGGTGGGGTCCCTGAATTTGCATCTCTAACGAGCTCCCAGGGATGCTGATGCTGCCAGTCCCTGGACCATAATCGAATAACACTGCTGCAAATCCCAGCCAGGTGGGCAGCAGATATGCTTCCAGGCATCTGAGGGAGGCTGAAGACTAAAGGATGGAAGTGGGAAGTGGGTAGAGAATCCTGTGCCCACGTATTACGGCCCAGGGATGATCCTTGTTCTCAGACATGGCAGGGAATGTAGGAAAGACTGTGGACCTGGCCAGAGGCCTGGGTAATCCCCATGTCCCTGTGGCCAGCGGGGCTGGGAGCTCCAAATTCACTCTAATAATCCAATTCGGAGACTAAGCCCTTGGCTCCATGCCCTGCGAGGCAGTCCTACAGCCTTAACTGCTCCTGTGCCCACGTAGCTCTGCCCAGAGACCCCAGATCTGCACTGTTTCAGAAATGCAATGGCCTCAGAGTGTCAGAGGAGCCTTTTGTGGAAAGAAGGCTTCTGTGGGCATCTCTGTCAGCTGACAGGATGAGCCCCTGGGGTGCTACAGGGTAGAGTTAGGGTGTCAGCTAGGATGCTTCTGTTTCCAGCGTCATGGCCTCCTAAATTCATAGACACAGAGGCTGTGGGAAAATGACTTGACAATATAGTCAGGCCACTGTTCAGAGGAACCATTATGCTCAGGACAAGGGAAGGCCCACGGGCTGGACTTCTGTCTCTTTCTATGCTGAAACTAAAACTCCTTCCCTTGAACTTGTCTTCTATTTAGGGGTACCTAATGTGCATGCGACCGATATTTATTGATCACCTACTATGTGCTGGGTCTTGTACCAGAGTTCCTATCTTCAAGGAGCTCAAACTCTAGGAATGAAAATGGATAGGGAAACACAAGTATAATGTAGCGATGGAAGTGCTCCTTACTAGGTTACTTAGGAGATAAGCCTAGGAGAAGTGAGGATACGTAAAAGGCACCCAATCGAATCTGGCTAGGTGGGGGTGGTTTGGAAGGGACAGATTTGCTAGGACCTGAAGAATCAGCCGTGCTTAGTTAGAGGAGGTGAGGGGAAGAATGTCTTTGGTCGATGGAACAGCATAAACAAAGGCCCAGAGGTAAGGGAGAGCCTGGCTCCTTTGGGAAGTGAAGTAGAATTCCATCTGCCTGGTGTCCTGATCTGGAGCGAGGGGTGGAGAGAGAAATGACATTCATTGGAGAGGCAGGGCCCGATCCCACTGCAGACCCTGGAGCATGCAGAGGCTCAGGTGGGACCTCTGAGGGGCTGCCTTGTTGTGTGAGCCAGGCCCATGGCAGCAGAAACCTCGATGCCTATAAAAGGCTCGACTTTGTGGCAGATAGGTCCAGAGTGTGGAGCAAATCACAGGGCAGCTGAAGGCAGGTGTGAAGCATCCCTGTAGCGATGTGGTTACAAGCATGGCTCTGACCAGACAAGAACAGACATTCTGCGCCCTTGATAGAACATACCCCTTGGGGGCCTGCTGAAAGGATTGACCTTGAGTCCGATCCGGCCTCTAGATCTAGCGGGCAATTGGCGGGAAATTCAGAGGGCAGAGGATCATGTTGAGTTGTATTATGTGTATTTCATCAGCAAAATCCAGACTGGGAAACTCTACAAGTCAAAAAGCTCCAGTTCGTCAACAGAGAAATTACAAGGAAAAGAAAGAGATGGAGGGAGGACTTGTCGATTTAAGAGAGCAGGAGGGAGGGCACTGTGGTTGAGAGGAGGGACAGATAGATAGGGGCTTCCAGGATGTCAGGCAAAATTCTACTTCTTGACCCAGGTGGTGGTTACAAGGGTGTTTGCCTCATAATAATTCACTAGATTGTACATTTGTTCTGTATACTTTTCTGTTTGTCCTATTCGACAATAAAAATGTTAAAAAAAAAAAAAAGTGAACTCAGGAGCCAGCTACCTGGATTCAGATCTCAGCTCTGTCACTTAGCTGTGTCATTTTGAGTAAGTTTTAGTACCCGCTGGGCCTCAGTTTCCTCATCTGTAGAATGGGGATGATGGTATAGGTTGTCATGAAGATTAAACAAGTTAGTGTACTCAGAGCCCTTAGAACAGTGCCTGGCACGCCATAAGCATTATCAAAGTTTTTGCAATAATTATCATTGTGTTGTTGTTTCCTGTTTCCATACGCCTCTCTCATGCTTCTGTGATTCCCCTCTCAGAGAAAGGGGAAAGGAGAGCCAACTATGGCATTCTTTAATGGCTGTGGTAAGTGACAAGATAATCACAGCTTAAATCTGGCTCCATAACCACAGAAAGACTGTCTGCGCAGCCTGGTCCTGCAAGGTGACCCCGATCCTGTTGGCTGTGCCTGTGGCTCAGGCTTCAGGGCCAGAATATCCTGTCGCACTTTTGGAGGTGCCTGCCACCTACTCTTGTTCTCTTACTGACACCTGCCTGTCCTAGAGAGAGGACAAAGGGGCTGAGTATCATGATGAAGGCATGGGCTTTGGAAGAACCATGATCCTGGGTTCTAACCACAGCTTTGCCACTTAAGGGAGTTAAGGGATGTATGTGTTAAGGGATTCCCTCTTCCTCTTTGAGCCTCATTATCCCTTATTAATGATAACAATTGCACCTCCCTGGTGGGGTGTTGTGAAGAAATAATCCATTCATAATGCTTAGTAGAGGGCCTGGCTCAAGGCCTTCACGCATCCCATTCCCTCTGCCTGCATTTGTTGAATCTCTAGATCCTTCTCATTTCTTGGGGCTGGGCTTACATGTCTCCTTGACTTTTCCACTGGGGAAGGAAGGAAGTCACTACCACATGTCATTTATATTCTTTACAGCATACATGAAAGTTATGATGTGACATATTATGTAACAATTTATTACATTATATTATGATATATTTTTATCTGCTTATTGTTCAATGCCCCCTGCCCTCACTAGAATGTAAACTCCGTATTGGCAAAGACCATTTCTACCTTGTTCACTACAATGTGTCTTCAGTGTCTAGTAGGTACTCAGAAATGATTTATTGAATAAGAAAATAAAATCCACGAATATATAAATGAATATATTTGTTCACTTTTCTATCTTGTGTCTTCCCTGGCTGGCGTGTGAGGGACATAAGTGCAGGAATCTTGTCTGACTTGTTCCCTGCTGTCTCCTGAACCCCTTGTGCTTGGCCGAGTGAGTACTGCACGCTCAGTAAGTACTTGCCAAATGGATGTGAGCCTGGGAGTGCAGAGGATGGCAACCATTTGTGACTGCTGGCCTCAGGTGCAGGAAGGGCTCCAGGCCCCATCCCTGGTGGTTTCTTGACTTTAGGTCTCACTCTGCTCTAATGTCGGGTCTTTGGGGACAGTTTTCTTATGCTGCAGGGGCCTCGAAGTCACAGGCGGTGCCATGGAATGGGAAAGAAAGGGTTGAGGGTTGGACAGACACAGAGTCCAGTCCTTGATCAATCATTACCAATCTCTGGGCCCTTGAGCCAGTTGGTGAAGCTTCAGTTTTCTGACCTGTACAAAGGGAGAGGATAATCATAGCAATGACAACAACAACAACAACAATAACAACAACAACAACGAACAACATATCTGCTTGAAAGGATTACTGTGATCAGATCAGGTAACAGACAGAAAAGCTCATGAGTTGAACAGTCCCATATACATGCGTGTTGTCACTAGTATTGGTAGCTAAAATATTAGAAATGATCACTGAGAACCAAGTCCTAGGGTAGAACTAGAATTCTGGAGAGATACTGCTGGGTTTCTGTCAACGTTCATTCTCCCCATCTTCCTTAGTAATAAAACTCTTGATTTCGATGACATTTATCTTTTTTAAAAATCATTTATTTATTTATT